CACCCCATTCGGCAAAAACTTGATTGACGTTTGCATTAACAGCAAATTAAGAATATTAAATGGTAGGACCCCTGGAGACGTATTAGGTAAACCTACATGTTATCAGCCCAATGGCTCTAGTGCTGTAGATTACATTCTAGCTAGTGAAAACATTCTCCTCCATAAAATCTCCTTTTTCCATGTTCATCCGCTAACCCCACTCTCCGACCATTGTAAACTCTCCCTAATTTTACATAGCAATGCTAACCGACTCTATGAACAGACTACTAACACATTGTCTACTCGGCCACATTGTAAATTTGTATGGAGAGCTGACTCCAAACAAAAGTTTCTAGAAATAGTAAATAGCCTCGAATTTACCTCCGCCATGGAAAACTTTCTCAACAGGAGCTACGAGGCAACCCCAAATTCTCTTGATGCCGCTTTGAATGACCTAGTTTCTCCTCTACAAGAAGCAGGCAAAAAATCACTAGTTCTACGCCGTACAAGGCAAGCAACCCATTCCCGTAACAACACAAACACAAAAACAAAAAGAAATGGTTTAATGAGAACTGTGCTACTACCAGAAAGAAACTAAAAGACCTTGGAAAGCTCCTCTCAAAAAATCCCAGGGACCCTTTTATTAGAGGCCTATATTTTAGAAGAAAAAAGAATACACCAGACTTATTCGTAAAACTAAAATTACCTACAAAAACAATATCCTCCATCAACTTAATTCTTACTCTGGCAACAACCCGTCAGCCTTTTGGGAGCTGGTTAAACAGTTCAAAACAAATGATTCCATCCCTGTAGAAGACACAATTAACAAACAGGAACTCCACGAACACTTCCAAGGGTTGTACGGAAGAGACAGTACACCTAAGTCCCCAGAATTCAACAATCATTTCCAAACTCAGATAGCAAATAAATTATTAGAATTAGAAGAACAGTCCGAAAGCCTTAATAATTTAGATACTATTATTCAGCAACAGGAAATCATGCAAGCAATCATCCAATTAAAGAATAACAAAGCCTCAGGCAACGATCTTATCCTTAATGAGATGCTAAAATGCGCATCTCCTATCCTTGTCAAACCCCTCACCAAATTATTCAATTTGTTTCTTTTATCCGGACACTTTCCCCAACAATGGCGCGTAAGCCACATAGTTCCACTGCATAAAGGTGGACCTAAAGAAGATCCCAACAATTATCGGGGTATATCAGTTATCAGTTGCCTCGTTAAGTTATTTACAGCTGTAATAAACACACGTCTTACTAATTACCTAGATGAACATAACCTCATTTCCCCTAACCAGCGGCTTTAGAAAAAACTTTGGAACTAACGACAACCTCTTCGTCATTGATACATTAATATCTAAATACACTAACGCCAATAAACGTCTTTATGCATGCTTTGTCGATTTCCGTAAAGCTTTCGATAGCGTTTGGCGCGAAGGACTGCGGTATAAACTACTCAGCTCAGGAATAGGTGGTAAATTCTACAGTTTAATCAAATCTATGTACACCAACCCACAAACTTGTGTCAAAACGTCAGCCGGCCTAGCACCATTGTTTGTTACTGACAAAGGAGTCAGACAAGGATGCAACCTCAGTCCAAACCCTCTTTAACATATTCATAAACGACCTAGTTAATGACTTAGATAATATTGATTGCGCCCCACCAACCTTACTACTATTTACTTAGTATCTTGTCTTGCTTTATGCAGATGACGTTGTGATGTTTTCGGAATCGGAAACAGGGTTACAATGTGCGCTAAACAAGCTGAACGCATTTTGTGAGAAATGGAACATTCAGGTAAACCTGAAGAAAACCAAAGTGATGATTTTCAACAAAACAGGAAGAACATTCAAGAACACCAAATTTTCCTTTGGCGCAGAAAATATCCAAATCACAAGCTCATATACCTACCTAGGTATAATTATGTCTTCGTCTGGCAGTTATTCTTTGGCCAAAAACAATTATCTTTAAAAGCTCGTAAAGCAATATTTAGTCTTAAAACCCCTCATCCGCACCTCTTTGTCCCCCAAGGCCTTACTCAAACTCTTTGATGCGTGCATCAAATCTATAATGTTATACGCCTGTGAGATCCTGGGGTAAAGATTATTCAAATGACAATTGTCCTGTAGAGATAACTCAGAACCGCTTCTGTAAAAATATTCTTGGTGTGCACAGGAATTCTAGTAACCTAGCAAGTAGGGCAGAACTTGGGTTGTTCCCAACAGATATAGATGTATCCGTCCGTGTAGTTAAATACTGGTTAAGACTCAAACAACTGGACACTTTCACACACCCCTTACAAGTAGATGCATTACTCTGTCAGCAACACAATATGGGAAATAGTGGTAAGAAAAGTTGGCTACACCATGTCAAAGAAATAATTAACAATGCAGGCTATTCTTTTTTATGGAACACCAACCACTGTACTTTAGACAACAAGAGTATATGTACATTGTTGAAGAGAAGACTAACTGATATGTATGTTCAAACGTTCTTTCACCAATTGTCTGTAGATAACGGCAAGCTAAGATTTTACAAGACCGTCAAATCCGAATACTCCATGGAAAAATATCTATACCACAATGAATTCGACGAACGAGCTGCCGTGTGTAAGATTAGAATAAGTGCGCATCCACTAGAGATAGAAAAAGGTCGCTATAGAAAACTACCTGTGCATGAGAGATTATGTAAATATTGTACAATGAATGCAGTGGAAAATGAAACACATTTTGTTAGCCAGTGTCCTCACTATGAGACCGAAAGAAACAGATTATTTCAGACAGTTACAACAATCTCTCCATCATTTCGTCATTTAGAAGATCACCAAAAGACTACATTTCTACTAAGATCACAAAACCCACTAATTATGCAGAATGTGGGACTATTCATTATCCACTGCCTTCAAAGAAGAAGTCGAACCCCTTAATAGCTAGAGTAGTAGTAGAAGTAGAGGTTTTTCCAGACAGATTGTTACCTGTCTCCTGTTTCTGTATAATTGACTGTACACGCAATTAGCCTTCGGGCATGATTTTGCAAATAAACAATTATTAATGTCAGAGGTCAACGACCTGCTTGCCGATGCCCCCCTCCCAGCGTATCACGGCCGAATGCCGACGTGGTCCCGCCAGAGGCGGTGAAGCTCGTCCAAGAACGGACACATTATTTGACCATTACTACTCTTAAGTTGCTGCCACGTTAAAGTTGGTATTGCATATAAATAAAGAAATATGACCCCGTAATCCATGACCAGGCGAAGTTACATTGAAATCACATTGCGTTCAGACGCAAATCGCGATGCGGGAAAACCGATTCGAAACCACCTCTAGAAGTGGTTTGGGATCGAAGCGCTTTCAATGTGATTTGGTGCATCCAGATGGAGCCACTTGAAACCGGCTTCGGGGTAAACCACATGTAAAGCGCCTTCACTGACTTCACATGAACACGGCCTTTTATCTGTAGTTCACAAACGGCTATCAAAACAATGTAAACCATCCATTTGTTGTGGTAAATCTGAATTGTGTATAGCTAATCCTATTTTGACAAGGTATTCTTGGTTTTTGTTTCAACCTATCACAAATCAAGATTTCAGGACTTGAGTTTTCAAAATCTAAGAATACTATTACCACGTTCACTTCTTAAATCGGTCTTTGTTTACAGCGTAGCCTATATGTAAAAGACTGCTATGTTATTACAAAAAAAATATTAGAATTAGCCCCACTCGATTGTAACAATATATCGAAAATACGTCGATGAAGATTAGACATCCAGGTAATACGATACGCCAAAAGCAGTTATTCAAGCAACTGGATTCAAAATCATATCCAACTGCGTTTGGCAAATATATCGAAAACTTATATAATAAACTACCCCTTATTGTTTTATTTTTTTGAGGATGTTATTCTATACCTCTTATTTGTAATGTTAAATAGTTGTTGCCATACTTTGTACCATGTACAATTGTGCGATAAAGTTCTTCTTTAAAACGATGCCAACATTTCTATGTTCCATTTTTTTAGTTATTTGGCATCTTCTTGGCGTGTTGGCTGTACCGGCACCCGACCACGCGGGTGAGAACCAAACGCAGACGGCAGTCTCGTGCCGGCTCCTCCGGTAACACCAGCTCCGGACTCTACAACAACAGCACTGTCGGCGGCTGCGACGACGAGTCTACCGTGCTGCCTGTCTCCAACGGCAAGGACAGATCGACGAAAAAGAATCAGTACCTTGGGAACCTGCCGAACAGACTACAGCACATCGTCTAAAGGACAACATGCAAGAGAGAAATACACACACTGTAGTGTATGTTTAGTTAAAACTTTTGGTCCAACACAAAAATTCTCTCACCTAGAGCTTTCGACTAGTCACTCTGGTCTTCCTCAGTAGACTGACCCAGTGAAGCATGTCACGTGGCTTCTTTGGAGTGTGACGTCAACACTGGGTCAAAGGTATCTGGTAGACGATGTCCCTTTGACCCAGTGTTGACGTCACACTTCAAAGAAGCCACGTGACAAGCCTCACTGGGTCAGTCTACTGAGGAAGACCAGAGTGACTGGTCGAAAGCTCCAGGTGAGAGAATTTTTTGTGTTGGACCAAAAGTTTTAACTTTAAACATGTAACTACCAACACAGATGAACTTTCATGATAACACTGTAGTGTAGTTGAGAATGGAGAGAAAATTTATTCCGTATTTTATTGTACATTTATTATTTTTGTATGATTATGACATTTCTAGGGCTATTTAGCAAATACACAAATTGGTATTTTTGTCATTCCTGCCTCGATAGTCTAACTGATCCTTCTGTACATTGGAAGTTGTTTTAAGCAAATCCCCTGCAAGCATACTTTATTTTATAACGGATGAATTGCTTTCACTGGACGAAGACAGAGGAGTAGCGGATGAATGTTTTAAGCAAATTTTTAAGGTTAATGTATCTAACATTCATTCATACTGCAACACCGCGCCTATCAGGTCAGTATCAATGTCACATAGTTAGTTGGGATATCTAGATATGAGGAAAGAGACGGTCACAAACATAAAGATGTTTACTCCGTGAAGACAGTATTGAGATCCGTGGGGTCGTGTGGCGTAGCGGCAGAGTGCTCGACTCGGAACCTAAAGGTCCCGGGTTCGAGTCCTGACATGCCACCTTTCTTGTGCCCTTGGAAAAGGCACTTTACACGACTTTCCTCACTTCGCTCAAGTGAAAATGAGTATTGTATTGTATTTGTCCCCTGTGTTGGTGGCGGCATTAATATAAGTTTGAAAAACTTGAGTGTGCCGTCACCACGTCTGGTGATTACATGTTGGAAATTATGAAAAGAAAAGATCAGTTGTGATGCTTCCTGTGTTTTTGTTTTGTTGATGTAAATCTCCAAAATATATTCTATGTAAAATACAATTATTGTATAAACATTAAGCTGTGTGAAGAGTAAACAGCTGACGACAGAATGTGCGGTACAAAAGTGCTGTGTACGTAAACAACCCAGTCTGATCTGTGGATCCTTCAACACGACCTTTGTGCCTTACAGGGACCGTCCAAAAACAGAATCTAGTACCTCAAACAAAATACCCCAGGCCTAAATAGATTGATAGCTATCCATCGGATGTTAACACTTGACATTATCTGAGCTAAATCGTCATATATCTAGTCTGTATATAAACTGTGCCCGAATCTTTCCTCTTATGGACCAATTGAATACTTGGAATAAACAAGAATTCGGAGATCTCATACCTCCATGAAATATATGACTTTTTACCTTCGCCAAGAAGGTTATGTTTTCAGTAGCGTTTGTGTGTGTGTGTGTGTGGTTTAGCAAGATAACTCGAGAAGCAGTGGATGGATTAAAATGAAACTTGGTAGGTGGGTAGGACTCTATGAGACCTAGAAATGATTAGATTTTGGGCCCCCTGGCGGCTTTCCTAGGTACTGCAGCAGAACTTCCGGTTTTGATATCTCGTGATCTGGACATGCTAGGGTCACGAATATAGCTCTTGAGATAGGGAAGAAGTGACATGAGTTTGGGTCCCCTAGTGGCTTGTTCTTGAACTGCAGGAGCATTTGTTGAAAAATGTTCGAAGGAGGATAACTCAAGCGGTTGACGGATTGTCATGATTTTTGGTATGTAGGTAGTTGAAGTGATGCTTGACATAATCATATGACAATTATGCAAATCAGGAGCTAATTTGCATACATAATGAGGAAATTCTATAAATCTTCTTTGTTCGATAATAGAACTATGAACCACTTGTGACATTTACTTGAGAACGAGAGAAAACATCTGAAGATTTACCTCTATATTGCTGGCTTGCACGTGTTTTACGTTTGCGCGCGTCTTCGCCTTTAGAGAAAAAGGCAACTAGCGCTAGTGAAGTTGGTCCTTACAGTTACATTAGTTTGGAATCTTTGAAGAAAGCTCATTCGTGATGAATTATTGGAAACAAGAGGGAAAGTCAATTGTGATAACATATCGTCAACGTGTGGTACTTGCACTTTCACACAGAAGAAGACAACCTGACCACAGAGGAGACAAATTACCAACATTGCAATATTCATGCATCTGCAGCAACCTCCAAACTGGATATATATATATGTGAAATCCAAAATACATATGTGTACATACATAAATTGAGCTTTTTAAAACATACACAGAAGTACAATCACAGAACAGATATAGACCTACATGTATATAACGAAAGCAATATCCACAATATGATATTGTTCACCTTTCTCGACTTGAAGATCAACTACTAAGATTCATAAAATTCTATACATTACGTCTTGAATAGCAAACATTACATCATAAAGCAAGAGTCACTCAAGACAATCTTTGACAGTAACTTATCTAGCTGCTATAATTGTTTTTCCATCTGCAGACTCTGTAAAGAAAAGGAAATGTGTTGTTTTTGCTATTAATAATTTTGTCCTGTCTGTAGCCCTGTACGTGTGAAAAGTATACAGTAAATCCATTCACCGTTATATTACACAAAAGGCACAATCACCTGCATTACACTGTGAAACACACAATTACGCACTTATAAAACCAGACAGTGAAGGGGAATATCAGGTCGTTACAATTTACAAGGTGCAGACCACACAGGTGAGCTCGAAGCCGCTGATGTAGGGTACACAGGGAAGAGAGCCACACTGCGCCTCCACCAGGTACAGCAGGGCTCCATTTTGGTCGGCAGATGATCCTGGCCTGAGCTGGGGAGCTCCGTCCACACAGATGGAGTTCTTGTTGCTCGGGTGGCTGTGATGTGCCGACATCAGATAGCCGCTGTACTCCTTACTCCACCCCTCAGGACAGGACAGGCGGGCGGGGATCATGACGTGTGCAGACCGACCGGACGCGAGACACGCCGAGCAGGGGACGTCGTAGTTATGAGGGTTGGTGATGCCCGCCATGTTGTCTGTGGAGAAGTAGTCAGCACTGTTGTGCTCATACTCAGCCCCGTACACGTAGCTTCCGTGCTGATTACCGGCCACTGGGTTGTTCCACTCCACATCTTCCAGGGGGAGACACAGGTGGTCACCTCCCGATCCGCGGTGGTTATAATGTCCACCTCCCACAACACCTGCGAAAGGCAAAATGGGTTTCTGAATCATCATCGATATCCCCGGAAGAAGTAGTGGAGTTGATTGATGTATGGCTGATCTTAATTGCTTACAAGGTTAGATTAAACGATCTTTAAAGAAATGAGTCTTCTGTTTGACCTACCAGAGTAGATAGTCTTGGCGTTTTCACCACAGTCATCCCTCCCCCAACGCACGTACACGCTCCCGATGGTCGGAGTCTGGTCGGCCTGTCTCCGCTCTCTGCGTGTCCCGCCTGCAGCAATGTCGTTCCGTCGGTCCTCTGTACCAGCTAAGGCGGCCGGTGCAGAACGAGTGTTCTGCTGTGACATCAGTATGTAAACAAATTAGTAAGAACGACTGAATTAGGTAGACAATACTCCATCTTCCCAACCTAATGACCCAAGTTAATATACGTGTCGTGCATTTGTTCTCATTTTCCCACGGTTGCATGGATAACTTGACCTGGTGGCCTTGAGAGGTGACGGGTTCTTGTTGACTTCAATTTTCTGGGTTTAATTAAAATGCTGTGCCGCTGTCGTGTACTTAAGTTACATATGCAGTCAAACTTTGTTGCGAACTCTTGATGACCATAGGCTAATAGTAAAAGGTAAGAAATGTCTAGTGTATGTACTAGTAGATCTATGTAATCTTTCTAAGTACATTACTGGAGGGTTTGGCGTCTTATTCGGGAACAGAGGCTGATAAATAGTCCCGCGTTTTTAATGATAAGCGAGTTTTGTGATGTCAGAGGAAAAACATTTTTACGTCGCCAGATAGCGAAAACTTGGACTCAGGTACAAGTGAGCACCCAACTTCGGCTAGCTAGTGACGTCGTCTCGGGCGGGACATACAAAAGAAGGTATCGTGTTTGAGGAGAGCCTCACAAACCATATTCTGGTAGATGATATGAAAGAACTTGGTGCGAGTGCTGGTATTAAACTTGTCACTCTGGTCTTACACACCTTGTCCTTGACGTACAAAATTTGTACAAAATTTGGATCCTTACCATGCGGTTTCTGAGCTCGGTCACCTCCAGCTGCAGGTTTGACATGGTGACGTAGACCAGCGGCATGAGGACGGCACACGCCAGCCAGCCTCCCGCCAGGAGTACCAGTCCCGTCCGCCGCCCGCTCAGCCTCTTGTACGGCCTGCTCAGGCCCACACCAGGAAGGAAAGGAACGGAACCTTGATAGAATGAAACACACTGTTCGTCATAACCAACGTCAAATAGATGGGGAACATGTTAAAGAAAAGAAGGGAGTATCTGCCACAGAAAACTGTCCATGATAGTCTACCTTGGTCCATGACAAGTTTCTCCACTGACATTTTCACCACGCCGACGCCACAGACTTTGCTTTGAAGAGTGAAATGAAGACGTGGCGCAATCCAATAGCTAGTTAACTTCTTACTGTCCAGACAATCCAGACGTCATAACTCAATGGAAGCAAGCTTTAGGATCAATCAGGAATTTAGAGGGTGTCCAAACACTTAAGAAAAGGGTTCATGTATAGCTCACTGGTCGATGAAAAAATTGTCCATGACACATGTCTGTATTATAGTACAGTTCACCGTATATACGTATGTAACATTTATGCAATCATATTCTCATTAAAAAGATAACATGGTACATTCTGTTGGAATTGCTGGCACCCCTATGATCCATAGTAGTCCATTCCTCACGGTTCTTCTTGTCTTTGGCCCTTATGGAGACGGGGCGGTGGTGATCATCCTTACTAATGAGGCTTTTTGTTCACGGCGAACTTGAAACTCCTTTTCCCCCCTGCCACGAAATCAATTCCCCACGAGTTTTAATGAATTTACAGTTACTTTAGTTACATAGGATTATTTAGAGTTGAGTGTAGTTGTTAATGTTCCAGTCGGTGTGTTATGTCAAAGGGCGGTTCTACCGGCTATACAGGTACAGATACAGCCACTTACGCTATCTGTAATACAGTATAAAGTTAACTTTATACGTTCTGCTCTGGTTTTATCTATAAAGGCGGCTCCGAGGTTAACCAGCCAGTCTTCAGGTGGGTAGCGGCTGAAGCAAGTGCAGTTAGATGCGGCTGGATTTCAGTTCAGGGTTTTAAATCTAACAATACCAGAAATCATACCCGCCACACGCTTGCATGCCAGCTAATTAGAACACGTGAAAATGGCTGTCAATTTTGGAGAATAGAGTGTTAGCAACAGGTAAAGTTGCACTGATTTTACCTCTATACTGTTCGCGCCTTGTACATGTTTTACGTTTGCGCCGGTCTTTGCCTTGGCGAAAAATGCAACTAGCACTAGTGAAGTTGGTCCTTACATGGTTTTATTTGTAGAAAGCTCGTTCATGATGAAGTATTGGAAAAAAAGGGAAAGTTAATTGTGCTAACATACTTTCAACGGGGCACTCGCACTTCCACACATCAGAAGACAACGTGGCCTTAGAATAAACGATGCAATATTCATGTATATGCCACAACACTACAAATTGGATATGTATGTATATACATATATATATA